GAGAGGTGAGATGGGCAGGGCCGGGAGGGATAGCGCCTCTATCTCGGGTGTCCTGGCAGGCCTACAGCTCGCCCCCTGCCCCAACTCTGCCTGAAGAGCCGGGTCTGGGTGACGTCTCCTTTAGTGAAGCGAGCGATGCAGAAGACTGAACCACAGGTCCAGCCTAAATGTGACAGCTTATTCCACAGCAAGCCGCAATTATGGACCGACAGCCCCTGCGAGATGGTCCGGAGCCCTGGAGAAGTGACTGCTGTCTGGAGACATTCACTGCCCGGAAGCCCCTGGCCCCAAGGCTGCTGGCTCAGAACCAGGCCCAAAAGATGCTTACCATGACTGGCGAGGAGGCCACCTTCACAGTGGCCGGGAGGGTGGTAGTGCCAGGTGTCACGGCAACAGTTTTGACAATGGTGGTGCCCGCCGGGACGCTCAGCACCGTGGGTGCTGAGGAAGGAGGGATCTTCTGGGTGGCAGCGGCTGCGGCTGCGAGCGCAGCCATGCCACTCATCTGGGGGTTACTGCCGATCACCTGCAACGGGCACAGGAAGCGTGAGCCGCAGGGAACGCTGGGACCCGGACCACCCCCGACTTCTCCAGGGGGCCTCCTCGCGCCCAGCAGCGCCCCAACCCTGGATTCCTACCACGGAGCAGGCCCAGTGACCCCGAGGCCGGGGTTCGCCAGCAGCTCTGGGTCTTTTCTAAAGACCGGAGTCCTACACGGCTCCCTCCTCACGGGTCTGGCTGGGCCAACCCCTAGCTGCTCAGTGTCCCCTCAGGCTTCACGACAAGAAAGTTTACATTTAAAAGGCCCTTGGGATCGGATGGCAGGGAGGTCCTTCAGAGGCACTGAGTTTTTCGACAAAGGGTGCTGAGGCTGGGTGCCATCAATGACCAGGAAGTCCCGCCCCACCAGCCCAGTCTCGAAATGGCTCCTCACCGTCCCCTGAGCGCTCTGTGTGGGCACAACCATTCTCACGCCTGCAGGAAGGGACGTCACGGTGACAGGGGCTTTCCCCGCCTGGCTGGAAGGTCGCATGGTGACTAACGGGGTTCCTGTTGTAGCCTGAGGACCGGTCACTTTGAGAACGGCAGGGACAGCTGGCGAGAGAAGGGGGCAGCCATCAGCAGAGCCCCGGCCCCTCTGTAGGCTCCTTCAGCATTTAGTCGTGAACTGCTTCTATGACCTGCTGATGCTCCATGTCTGGCCCTTCCGGACACCTTCGGTGACGGTCGCCACAAGCGGGACCTCGCTTTCCCTCTCCTGCCCCCGAGCGCTCAGTGACAAGCCTGCACTAACTGCTGCCAGGCAGACCGCCTGTTTAGCAGCCCTTACTCAGGAACATCCGCCCCGTGGGCCGGCCCTTGCCCTCAAGTGCCCGGTCCCCGGCTCACCTTGAGTCCTGGTTGCGGTGGGCACTGAAATCGAGCTGCCAGGCACGGGCGGTAATACCTGGATGGTGGTGGTGGTCGGGGGTACAGCAGCAGCCTGGGGCAGCAACGTGATGCCTACTTGGGTCAGTGGCTGCACAGCAGGTGCGGCTGCCGCTGGGGCAGGGCTCTTGGGAGGGTTGGCAGGCACAGATGGGACCGGATTGGGTGTGGGGGAGGTGGCAGTGGCAGCCGTGGCAGGAATGTCGTATTTCTGGAGCTGCAGGAGGTAACTGTCGGCAGTTGCCACTGCCCCCCAGCTCACCTCCAGGGAATTGGTGTTCGCTCGTACCAGTTGCACCCGGGCCGGGGGTGGCGGCTTTTCTGTGAGAGAGCACCACAGCCGGTGAGGAGGGGCAGGCTGGCCTTCGGGGGTGAGCGTGGCAGCCCTCGGGCTGCCTCCTCCAGTGAGCCTTACCTGTTTCCAGGTACCAGAGATCCTTGCAGCACACCTGGTTGTTCCAGGCCTTCCGGTAGCCATCACGCCCACTCCAAATGTACAGGCGGGTGTTGATCGCTACAGCACAGTGGCCGGCTCGGGCCCGAGGAATGTTGTCCTCCAGTGTATCCATCAGGATGGTCTCCCAGGCCATGGTATCTGGGGAAAGCGGGAGGTGAAGGTTAGCAGAGAGGCAGAGGAACCTACAACCCCCAAGTGGCCCTTTGGCCTTTTGCTGTCGGGGTGGGGAATTAAAACCAGGAAGCCATCAAAGATTATAAAATGAGAAAGAAAGAAAAAAAAAAAGGAATTAAAAAAAAAAAAAATTAAAAAAAAAATTAAAAAAAAAAAAAAAAAAAAAAAAGG